CGTTTGGGAGGCCTGAAATTCATTGGGACATCACTCATTTGGAGCTTCTAGCTATAACTTCTGGTAAAGATATACTCAAAGGTTGGATGCATGGTTATAAAGGTATCATAATTGAAAGTGATAATATCAATATTATCAATCTCATTCATAAAAAGAAAGAAGCCAAAGGTATGAATAAATTATCTATAATTGATAGTTTTAATTTTGTTATTTTCAATTATGTGAAAAGGGATTGTAATAAGTTAGCTGATATTTGTGCTAACTATGGTACCTTTTCTAGTTTTTTAAAAAAAAAAAAAAAAAAAAAAAAAAAAAGTTCAAAATAAAAAAAATAAAAAAAGAGACGTGCAAATTTTGTAAAAAGCTAAAAATTGGGTGTCATGCATGTGATTCTCCCTTGTTTTATTATAAAACAGCAAATTTTACCTTTGAAGCTGCGTCCAGCATGAAGTTCCGAGCAAGCCCTCGGCCCTGAAATTTGATTACGGAAGTTGAGTTTATTTCAAATTTTGTGCTCTGGATTTCAAGGTTAGCAAATTAAAGAAATATAGATTAACATGTCTAATGTCACCTTGTGAATCTACGTATATTAAAGAAAGCGTTGTTAAGGCATGGCAAGGATTAACAGGAAAAAAAAAAGGTTTCTGAATGATGATCTAGTTCTTAACCATGTGAAAGAACTTTTCTTTCATCAAATGAGATGCATGCGTATACTCAGAATATTCATTCACATATATTTAGCAGATAGTTGGAGAGGTCATAATAGAGGAGTTTGCCCTCAAAAAGGGCCCACAGTGGAGCTCGCCAAATGACCTGAGAGACAATACTCACTTGGAACTCTTAGAACTCACCCACCGTGATTAACAAGCGCTACTCGCTCGAGCTTACCAAGGAGCTCACCCTTTTATGAGGTGAATTAGAGATTCCTCATCTACTAGCAACTCAACACTTGTTACATACCTAAACCACCATTCTAGTCACTCGTTCTCTCCCAAAACAATCATCCTCATAAAAGTTTGCCATGTTCATTATAATATATTAGTAATTAATTAATTAAGCATTTCCTTCATTCCTCCCACCTGGCTCCTCTCTGGAATTGGGAGCAGGTCGTGAGCTCAGAAAGCCATGAGAGCTGCTAGGGCTGCTGCGGCTGTTGGGAGTGAAATTTAGAAAACGGTAATGAAAAATAAGGAAAGCAAGGAAAGCATAGGAAGGGAAGAGAGGAAGGAGGTTAGGGAGAGGGAAGGAAATTGAGTTGAATGTGGAGTGCAATTGAGGTAAATTTTTTAGATTTTAATATAGCCTATTTTATTTTCTTAGGATCTATGTACGAAAGACAAATATTTGTTTTAGATTGTTTATAAGCGGAAAAGAGGTCGAAGCATTTTAGGAGAACGAATTCTTCCAGTGATCCTAGAGAACAAGGTGAGATACCCAATCTATGGTATAGGAAATAATAATATTTTTATATAATTGAGACAACATTTTTATATAACTGGGATAACATTATTTCCAGTTTCATCATGTTTTTATTAACTGGTTTATCAGCTGAGTTGCTGCATATTCATGTGTATGTTATGAAAATGTAAAGTTTATTGAAAAAGTAAATGAGATAAGTTATACATAAAAGATAGACCTGACAAGATAAGCCTTAGAGATCATACAGAAGGTACCTGACTCTCATTTCTAAAAGTTGAAAATTAGAATCCAACTTTAAATGAGAGAGCTGCAAGTGTGCAAAAGCCTATTATCATCATATGACTTGCCTAAAGTTGAAAATTAGAATCCAACTTTGAATGAGAGAGCTGCAAGTGAGCAAAAGCCTATTATCATTATATGACTTGCCTAAAGTATTGGAAAATTAATCGAACAAGAAATATGTGAATACAGAATATATATATATATATATTGATGAGGTCATCGACAGACATTTTAGGCAGGTTTATCGGCGAAGGAATCGTAAATAGAAGGGTGACTGCATTTTTGTGTACATACATTTTGGATGTATATAGAAGCAAGAGAAGGAAGCTGTACAGGGTATGTGAACTTTATTTGAAAGCATGACAAGCTCTGTATTTTATTTGATGTGTTTTGAATATGCTTCCAATTATAAAATATTGAGATAAAATCATAAGACTTGAAAAAAACATGAGGTGTTCTAGATAGACTCTTTCCTATTCACTTGATCCTGATAGAACTAGGTAAGACTGGATATTAGTAAAAGATATGTCTATTCGGATTCACCCTATTTGTTACACTCCAGCTTGCGGAAGGGCGTCAAAATGCGGTGTGATATCTCAGTTACAGAAAAACACCTATTCACGGGACTCCCAACTCATCTCATCCTAACCATAACCTCTCCCTTCCTGAGACAACTTACACTTTGAAATTTGGGTATTATAGAGAGGAAGGTGGGCTAGAGAGGGATAATGGGCTATCTCTTTTTAGAAAGAGAAATAATTTTCTCTATAAGTCTTTTTTTATTTTTTATTTTATTGAAAATGAAGGGAAGGTTAGGGTTTTGGTAGAGGTGGTGTATGAGGTGTGTGAAGGGATTTTGAGAGGGGAGGGTAATTAGGGCTTCAGGTGGAAGTAGAAAGTTGAGAAAGAGGGGGGAGGGTAATTAGGGCTTCAGGTGGAAGAAGAAAATTGAGAAAGAGGAAGTGTTGATGAAGAAGAAGAAGAAGAAGAAAAACAAATGGAAGACAGAGATGAGGTGGTATGCCAAGTTGGAGGTGGATGATGACTGGAGCTGCGGCGGCAGGGAAGTTATAGAGGCGGCGAGGTCGGAGATGAGGCTAGATGTAGGGTTGTTGGGCAGCATGACTTGTGGCTTAGAGGGGTCACATAAGAGAACGAGAAAGAAAGGAGGGGCTTGTGTGTATGATAGGGATCAAGAGAGGAACTTTTATTACGTCCTCTGACCGAACGTAACCGGACATAGCTCTACGTTCGGTTAGAGGATTGTTACTCCGTTTTTGCTCGGTATTTGGTCGGTATTGCTAGGTATTATTTGGTAATAACGAGAAATACCGCTCTGTGAAGATCAATACCGAGCAATCCCAAAAAATATCGAGTTTTTTCTAATGGTATTTCTCGTTATTGTTGGTATTGCTCGATATATGTTCGATATTTCTTGTTTTGTGCCTGTGATCTTAGTGCCGGCCGAACGTAGCTCTACGTACGTTCACCGGACCAAATAAAAGTTCTCAAGAGAGAGAGGGTTGTTGGATTGGTTGGGAATGAGTAAGGGAATGTGAGGGTTAGTTTAGGCATTTATGTCAGAGATTTTAGGTTTTAGGTTTAATTATATTTAGAATTTTTTTTATTTAATTGATTTTAAACATAAAATTAATTTTAATAGTTTTTTTCTTTAAATTTTTTTTTTTTATATTAGTCGTATTTCGACTTGGTCGCCAAATCACCATTGATCGCGCATGTCATATTTGTCTCGATATGCAAGCGTGAAATTTTAATTTCTCAAATTGACAACCCAACCAATATGGCTGTCGATTTTAGTTATTTTAGTTGCCCCAAATTCCCTGGTGTTATCCTTTTTGTGAATAGAGGATATTTCAGCAATCTGGATTTTTGGGCGACGTGCGTCAGAGAAATTTTATGCGATGTCGCACTCTTTGCTTTGAAATTTGTCGTATGCGATCAACTCGACCCCGACACTAGCATTGAGTTCAACAAATTAGAAAAAAAAATACACTACACACTTTACTCGGTTTCTTAAAATGCTTGCATTTTGAATTCTTCTGAGCAAACAACCTATAAAGATTTGAATGCTATAGTACCGTCTAGTATTAAAGATAGTACAGGAGCGATAAAAGTGTCACAAAGGATCACATCAAAAATAATATTAAGTTAGTATCTTTTTGTATTGGTTATTGTTAAATACTATATCTGAAATGACACGTTAATCGACATTTGCTAGAATAATTGGAATGTTAGAACAACGAAGAAAAAAATTGAAGATTGAAAGCTTATAATTCCTATAAAAAAGACTTAGTAAATTATATACACTTTCATAGGTGTGATATTAATAATTATCAATTAATATTATTAGAAGATAATATGATACTTAAGTGCGATATGTTTAAGCATCTTAAATCAATTATAAAAAAAAAATGAGAATATAGATAAGTTAGCTTAGAGTTTAAATTGAATTAGTTTAAATGGATTAGTAGATTAAAAGTATTATGCGATAAGAAGATATCATGAAGACTAAAAAATTAACTTCATTAAATTGATTGGTTATATTATATGGATCTAAGTGTTAAGCAATACAAAAATCATATTGAATGTGATGAAAATAATAATATTAGAATAAATGTGAGGAAAATTATGATGGATGAATTGAGATATTAGATGGGCGCGGTTAGAGTAACATCTATTATACGACAGTTGAAAAATAAATTAGGTGGTTCAGCTAAATACTACGAAGAATAGAAAACATACTCATTAGATGAGTAAATAATATTAGTGTCTAAGAGTTAGAAAGCAAAATTGATAAACCTAATGAAAAATGGATAAAGATAACAAAAAATGCATACAAATTGTTCAAAAAGATTTGTTCATAATTGATTTAACATCTTGATGAGCACTAAATAAAAAAAAGAAGGAAAAATGAGTATCCACAAAGCCATACTCGAATAGCTAGGATAAGGCTGATAATGATAATGATGATTAAAAAGACACTTGTTTGCAATGAGACCTTGACCATGACCATACATAGGAAATGTAATCACAATTACTCAGAAGGTCCAAAGACTTCATCAAATTTAACAAGATACAACAGAAAGTTACTGCCTACAAGGCTGGGCCTAATGCAATACAATAAACAATATCAGTTTAAACTGATATTATAGCATTCTATAAATCATTTTGGAGCCGTCCCTTCTAATGCTTGTGAAGATGTAGGTATTTATAAAATGAAAGCGTGAACTATTAACGCAGAGATCATTACCATACATAATCCACATTTATGTGAAGAAAAATGAGAAGTTGACCTACATTGTGTCGTAGCTTGAGTTCTTCTATTGCTTTGCAGTTATAAAGAAATGTAACCCCTTGAGAAGTTATCCTTCCACATTCCTGACAAATAAAAAGAACTTAATTATGTCATTTAAACAAAAGAATACAAAAAAAACAAATTGATCACAATGCCAAAGAGCACATAAGAAATGGAAGCCCGTCCAAATACTAAAACATAAAACCATATGGGCGGCGTGCTATAAATTTTCTGATCATCCTCACAAAAACATTTAACAATATACCAGTTAGATTGGCAAAAGGTGGGTGTTTGCATTTTTTTTTTTCATGCTCGCTAGACTTTGGTGATTCATCTCTACTTCCTGCTGTTTGGCTGAAATTGGATGAATCAATTAACTTTTATAAGCTTCTTACAATTTATAAGCTTTAGCATAAACTTCAGACCCAGTCTTATTCTCTGGACCCAATTTCTTTCAAAAATTTCAATACATTCAAGTAATATTGATGTAGGCAAAGGGGGGGTCAACTCATGTCCAAAATAAATCAATTTTGGCCTCCATCAAGTCTACAAGCTCAATCAAAATTGAGCTGAAATTTTAGCTCATTTATGAGCTGGTCTTTAGTTCACTTATTGAACTAAGGGTTAGCTCATTATTAGTTAACATTTTAGTTCATAGTTATCTTTTTATTAATGTAATTTTTAATGTTTTAATTATGTTTGTCTCTTGGAATTTCAAACCGGCTTTTAGAATTCCAAGATATGTTATTTCCCATGTGTGGATCCTTGGCTTCCACCATGAGCTTTAGTTTTTTGTGCCTTTGCCCCTTGGAATTCCGGCCGGCAGCTGGTTTTCCGAGCCTGGGATATTTCTCGTGGCTGTGGCGCCTTGGTTCTGTGCGGCCTCCTTGTCTCTCGCGATTGCTCCTTCGGTTCCTGGGCTTGGGCGGTTTTCCGTGATTAACATGGGGGGATTTCCATGCTTGTGATGTTTAGGTTTTTGTGAAAATTAATGTTGGTGTCCTTTTGTATTCCCCTTTCATACCTATAAATATGAGGGGATTGTAATGTTTGAAATAGTGAATGTTATGTGATTTTTGGAATCTAACCTGCGGGTTATTGGAAAAGCTTGCGAGCTTTGTCCGTCTTCTTTCTCATCCCCTCCAGAAATCTTGTGACTTATTTCCAACCTTTCGTCTCGGCTTCTAATCTCTTTCGTCTCTCCGCAAGTGCCACTCCATTTGTATCTTTCGTCTCTAAGTAAAGCAACTTTAGGGCGTCTTTGATTTCGAGTCAAAAGTTGTAATCCGTCGTCGTTTGTAATGTTTTTAAAAATTTATTCTTTTTAGTTTAATTTGAAATGTAAGAGTTTGTTCTTCCTCATCTTAGTCGCATCATTCGTGATTTAGTGGGTCGTCCGTTTGTAAGGATAAATCTCTCATGTGCCCCCACCAAATATACAAAAACAATGACACGAAATATTTTATTTATTATACTATTTGTCTTTTAATACTATTAACCATAATAAAGTTTGATATATAGGCAACATTGGACAATCTCCTTTACAATCAAACAACTGATAAGATCCCCCTTGATATGCCTTCTCTATCACGAACGAACCTTTCCAAGTTGGTTTGAATTTACCGCATATCCTTCAATGAGACAAAATGAGTCTTCGCAGGACCAAAAAACCAAGTCTTCTACTTGGAAAGTTCTCGGGCTAGCTAGTTTATCATGTGCTTGAATCATTTTAGCTTTATATATCTTGAGTTTCGGTTGAGCCATCAAACGCTTTTCTTCAAAACCTACGAGTTCTTCTAATATGAGTTTTGCATTTGTTCTTCTGTGATCTTATAACTAACAACTATACGCAATGAAGGTAGTTGTACCTCTAGAGGGAGAACAACCTCTGCTCTGAATGCCAAAGCAAATGGCATAGGTTGAGTAGGAGTTCTATATGTGATTCTATATAACCATAAAGCTTCTCCTAACTATTCATGTCATTGGCATTTGTTATCATCCAGCATTTTCTTTAGAATTTGAAGCAACATTTTATTGAAGGCCTCAACTAATCCATTTGTTTGGGGATAATAGATTATTAAGTATCTCTAATAAATGTTGTGACATTTAGAAAAGTTATTTATCTTAGTGCTTTTGAATAACAGATCATTATTGAATATGATTCAACGAGGAATACAAAATTGATATATGATATGTTCTTTAAAGAAATTTAGAATATGATGAACTTTGACTTCTCTCAAAGGAACTGCTTAAGCCCATTTTGAGAAGTAATCTGTAGCTGCTAAGATGAACCTATGACCTCTGGAGGATGGCAGATCAATTAAACTGACAATATCCATATACCAACTTTTAAAAGGTCATGAAGCAACTATTGGTGTAACACATTTGGTGGTTGATGTAAAACCACGCCGTGCACTTGACATTGGTGACAACAACATGCAATTTTCATATAGCCGTCAATTATGTATGACCAATAATATTGAAGGTCAGCTATCTGATTAATCACTAGCTGTGAATTTGCAAAGAATTTAATATCTTTAATTTCATTCAAGATCATCAATTCTAACCTAGTTATTAGTGCATCATGCTAAGTTTCATTGTTCATATGCGGTTCTGACAAATGATAAGAGTAATATATTCCACCATTTTCTAGGATAACGAATACTATATTGATTCCAACTTTTCTTGGAAAAATATGATCAAATGTTTCTTGTTGACCAGAAGTAGCGCAATCAAAATAGAATTCTCATATGGACTTTTGATTTGATTCTAGATTCATGATTTATTCATCTGGTGACTCATCATTGACTGAGCAAACATCTTGTACTGGATGAGCTACTAGAAAGTCTGCCACAACTTGACCTTTTACTGTTCGTAAAGAAATGAATGTGATTTCAAATTTTGTGGGTCTAGGTGCGGATTGTGGAGTCCTTACGTTAGGTGAGGACAGGATCGTGCTGTGTAATGCAGGTGAGGTTTCCTGGTCAACCCGGGTTGATTTTTGGTTTCCGGGTTAACCCGAACATGACCCAATTTTATAAACGGGGCGAAAAACGAAACCTGAACCCGACTAGTCTGGTAAACGAGGTTACCCGAACCCAGAATTTTTCGAGTCAGGTTTTGGGTCGGGTCAAATATTGACACCCTTACAATTTTATATTTTATAAAGATTTTTCTCTTTTCAATATTTGATTGAATGCAATTTATTTTATTCTAGTAAATGGATGCCTCATAGGGGCATGCTCTTATGATTAATTGCATCTCAAATATTTATTACTTGAGAATACTTTTGATTAAACAAGTGGTTTCTTTATAGTCATTAAATATTGACTTATATTTTCATTTTTGAGTTTGAGAAATCTTGTTTTAAAAAATTTAGTCTTTGGGAATTTCAAAGATGTGATCAACTTGAAATCAAAATTTTAAGAATGTAAACTAAAGGAAGGAAAATATAAGAATACTTGATTCTGAAAAACTCAAAAGTGCTCAAACTAACATATATTGGGCTTTATATTTTAAAATTAAATTTTTGTTCGAGTTGACTTATTTGATTTAGAAAGTTGGGGTTTATATTCCAAAATCATAGATTGAAGAAAATGTTTGGAATGTGAGGTTTTATGAGGTGATTGGAGTTAACCTCAGTTTTAGATCCTAGATCTAAGGTGAGGGCTACTGATGATTAATTCGTATAAACTGTCTAATAGAATACAAAGGACTTACAAACCTACACCTCACTTGAGGCTCATTCAACCCGAGCTCTAGACTTATAGCCCTTTTGGAAAGGACCGTCAGCTAACCCAACAAAACACTTTTAAAATCATATAGTTCGCTCAATGCATATGTAAGATAGATAAAGCTACTTTGATTTAAGAGATAGGGGATACAACTTAGCTTTTGGTCAAGATGTCTAACTTTGTGGGTATGCAAATGATAACTCACTGAATGTAGATTTATTTGTTATCTTACCATTAATATGAGGGCTTTCTAAAAAAGACACACTGGGCTATATATGATCATTTTTTTTTTAATGAAAATGTGACTTATTTGAGTAAGCCATATAATTTTTGATAAAAAAGTACATGTTATCTTATGGTTGATTTTTTTTATTGGAATCCTTTAATTGGTAGAAATCCTAATTTTATCTTAAGAGCATACCGTACAACGCATGTCTAAGCCACCGCCAAGTAAAAATAAATGAACAAACTTAGATAGAAACATGCATTTTAAATGTGCACTCAGTAAACAAACACACACACACATATATATATATATAATCAACCAACATAAAAGTAAAATAATATCTAAATTATTACAATTATGAGTGGCAGCTGAGTTGCTTGCTATGATGCACCGACACTCCGCTTAAAGAGGGTATGCAGTGTCGGACACAGACACGCGTCCGACACTGCATGGACACGTGTAAATGAACATTTGTTTTGCTCATTCATTAAATCCAAGGTACATTTGTATTCATCTTTTAAATTTATTTAAATTTCTTGGTAAATGAACAAAAAATTTTATATGCTTTTTATTATTTGAAGGTATTCAAATAAAGAATGGCTTCAAGAAGACCCTCAACGTGTCTCACCAACAAAAAGATTTAGAAGTTTCAAATATGAGAAAAATATGCCTGAAAAGATATTTCCTAAATGAGGAGAGAAGAAAATTAATATAGAAATTGCAAAGTTTTTTGGATATTTAGAGGATTTTGGTGATCAAGAATCTTTGGTTCATAGATGGAGGATGAATCCAAAAATGTGGTGGTTGATTCGTGGAGCTTCAATACCGCTTCTTCAAACAATAGCAATAAAACTTTTTTGTCAAGAATCATCCTCTTCCTGTTGTGAGAGAAATTGAAGCATATACTTATTTATTCAATCAATGAAGATGAATAAAATAACTTCATAATGTGCTGAAGATTTAGTTTATGTGCATACAAATATTCGTCTTCTATCAAGGAAAATCCCACTTTATATGACAGGTGATAACAAGACGTGGGATGTTGCTAGAGATGAGTTCGAGTGCCTTGATGATATGGGATTATTGGAGGTTGCAAATCTTTTTCTAGATGAACCAGAGTTGG